TGACAAGGACGCCATCAAAAAGGCTTTTGTAGTTGATAGTATATACAGTAAGTAAAAACGTTATGCCATACTAGTATACACTTTCCCGATAAGGTACAAATTAAGTTACATATCAATACAAGGGTAAACAAAATAAAAACAACACTGTAATCACCTCTTGCGTTCGAATCACACCCATGGACCCACCTGCACCATGAACGACCAAAGCGAAAACCCCGATAGCTTGATGTACATAACAGATACAGTTAAGTCGGCCTCACATCTTGAATACATCTAGAAATTGACAATGATGGTCGGTTGAAAACAACACTTTACGACATAAAGAGATGATTTCAGCCTCCCAATTGTGAACTTTTCATTTCTACGTAGCAACATTCCAGCAGCACCTGCATAGGGAATATGTAATTCCCAGTTGATACGATATTCCAGGGCTTGTATTTCCTATCACGATTTCCTTAATAGAGGGTTGCTACTCACACGGAAGCTATTAAATCAAGAGTTCCAAGTGGTGAAGTTGAAATCGTCCCTTCGTAAATTTTACGGACGCCATCAAGAGCTCGAGTTGGTTGACCTTTGTGGAATATCCGTTTGACAGATGACAACGGATATGTTCCAAAAGTCGTAACTACAATCCCGTCCTCTTTTCCCAGAATGTGACCTACCGAATTAGACTTATCACCAGGTTTGTACTAACATTACACACGATGGGTGCCACATGTGGAGCAGGATCTGCTTACCCTTCCGGAGCACCTGAGATCACCTCTAGTTTTTGGTGGGGTTCGTGTTACTCTGTCTTTGGTTTTCTATGTTGTGTTTTGTGTACTGTTGTTTGTCGGTTTGTCTTCTTCTTTTTTAGCCATGGCGTTATCAGTTTATTTTCGACTTAAGAGTTGAATGTCCCTTTGTTATCCTTCGCCTCTCTTTTCCGAGTCCTGTTAAGAGTCATACAAACAAAAGGCATGTAGGAGTTTTTTGTATCTTTATTTGATACACCATATCATTTCTTCTCTATTATACCGTATGAACATTTAAAATAGAAAATCGTTTTTCCTCTGGTAAATATGCAGTTGCATAGACGAGTTTGAGGGAATACTTAATCACGAAACACAACAAGATCCTACTGTTATTTTATTGCACATTTAATATTGTATAACCATATTGCGTGAATAATATCATTATGTCTATTTAAAAAATAAAACGTCTACATCTCATATTAGTATAGTATTTATTTATGATTACTGTATCAAAAGTTTTAAGTTACTAGTATGGGTATAAAAGGTTAATATACAAAATGAAACGTACTGTTCATTCATCTGAAATGACAATCCGCGTTAAGGCGTTTTAAAAGATGTAATCAGTAAACTATAGTTTGTTATTTTTTTGGTAATTAATCCTGAGGTAAAAAAAGCATTACATGTTCATAAGGTGTCTATTTTCATTCATTTTGACAACAGGAATTAATTCAGGATGTGTTCTCCATAAATAGATTCTGAAAGTTTTGTTTAAATTAAGCACTTATACTGTTAATGTGGTTTGGTGACCATTTCTAATATGGCTGCCGATAACTTATATAAAAAAAAACTTTATTATAATTTGTTTCACATCAATTAGGCTTACTTTACCTATAAGTATTTTATCAATTTCTTTTTGGTACCAGTAATGACAGAAGTTTCTAAACAAACGTTTTTAAATCAAATTTGGAATAGCATTGTTGCCTAATAAAATTTTTTACTAAACTTCTATCAAACACAAATATGTTTCTTAAAATTTGAGACTTTTTTTTAAAACAAAAAATAAGTTTTCGCTACAATTCCAAAAAAATATTCTTTAAAGTGACAATAAATTTTATACCCAAACATCAATTGTTTTTGAAATCCTAGAACTTAAAGATGTGTAAGCATATATTCATACTTGTTTGTTAGTGGGAAATATTGAGCACATGCAAGTACTGCAGAAATATTAACATGTACCGTGTTGTGTTCAAACATTTGTGTAAATTGTTAAGTTAGTACTACCATGTGTTCTATATTTGTTGCTCAAAATTATGTAGAAAAGACAAAATTATATGTATTTTTCACGAAACAAGTAGAAGGCCCCAGACCACAATTGATTCCCCCTAGTTCCTAAGTTTTATATGGGGGCATTTCTTCCGGAGTTTTTAAGGTCTTTCCACTCCGTTAGGAAAGACCTTATTGTTTTTCTAATGTTTTTTTTTCTTTTTCTTTTTCTTTTTCTTTCTTTTTCTTTTTCTTTTTCTTTTTTTTTTTTTCTTTTTTTTCTTCCAACATTTTTTTCACATGCCCTACCCCCGTTTCTGTTAAAGTTATCAAGACCAAATATGGACCATCAGTAGACCTCATCATGAAGTATTACCAGATGACCCTGTTAAGGATTTCATCATCCCCTTTAGAAGTTATCTCCCTTTTATTGTTTTTTTTCGACATGGCCCCCCCTCATTGTTTTTAAAGATAACAAAACTTTATGTGGACAATAGGTAGATCTCATCATGATGTATTACCATATGAGGCTGCGTAGGATTTCATCTTCCCTTTTGAGAGTTATATCCCCTTGAAGCAATTTCTTTTATTTGCAATTTTTTCAAAAGTGTTAGAGCTAGAATCGATTTGAAAATGGCAACATGTACAATAACAGATGGCGATGTTAATAAACATAAACAATTATTTTGATATCAACCTTTATAAGGAGTTATTTCCCTTGAAAAATTATGCACAATTTAAAAAAAAATCTATTTCGAGAACCGGAAGTCGTAGAGACTTGGGACCTTCACCAATAATCTTTAATTCATGTGACCTTTAATTTGCAACCAAGGTCAAAGGTCACCGAGTGCGAAAAAAATTTACGCTGCAATTTCAAGCTTGCATATTAGGAAAACGAGAAGAGTTTGCTGCATACATACTGTGTATAAAATGTTCCTCTCGACAAGCTCTACATTTTATACATTAAGCTCAAACATGTCCGACCGTCTGTTCAAAAGTTACATCAAGATAATTCTTAAAAGTATAGTATTGTGTGAATATATTTTAAATGGTAACAGATATCAACCTACTAAAAACTGCAAAAATTATCAGTTATTCAAGACCTTTAATTTGAGGTCAATGTCAGGTCATGTTGAAATTTTACCTTCACCTTGAAAGTGTACTATGACCTTGACCTTGTGACATTTGAAAGGTCAAGTGGTCTTAAGTTGAATGGTGGTAGTCCCATGTCTCTACGATTTCGGGTTTTCAAGTTTGGTATTGCATCATATATTTGCTGATTCCTTGTGACCTTGATGAACTTTGGAATTGTCCCAAATTTTTATACAATGTTGCCCTTCAACTGCAGATCATTTATCATTTAACAGATTTGAGATATCTATTGTCGTTTTAGAGATAATGCAGTTTGAAATTTTGCGAGCGGAGGCATGTATTTCTGAATTAACAACAGGTAACAAATATCAAATTGACGTCCCCAAAAAATGAGTTGGGTGGGGTCATTGAGTGCAAAAAATAAATTTGTTTTTAAGGGTAAGGTTGTTGTATATCAAATGAAAGGTCGTAACGTGTACATTTCAAATATCAGATTTCTGTCCTCAAAAAATAAGTTGGATGGGGTTATTAAGTGCTAAAATCAAACTTTCTAGAACATGGCGTTGTCGCATATCAAATGAAAGATCATCAAGTCTACATTACATATATCATACTTCCGATCTCGAAAATTAAGGCGGATGGGGTCATTAAGTGTAAAATGCGAAAAGTTTCAGAAGGTATGCTTGTCGTATATCAAATGAAAGGTCGTACAAAGTACATTACGAAAACATCACTTTAACAGGAAAGACCTTTCAATTGTTTTACAAACAATTGAGATACTAGTCTTGCTACAGTTTTCTTTGAAAAATTTACTATTTAAGTGTTACTATAAGTTGTATATTTATTGAAATAAGCAGAACCAGTGAGAACAATTTATTGTTCAAAGTGAAAGTAGTGATTTGGCCACACTGAAGTAGGGTAGACATTAGCCTTCGCCATTTATTCAAGATTCAAATCCTACCTTGGCATGTTTTCAGGGCTCTCAAAAGAAAAATCAGAGATGGATTGTGCTGGGACAAGCATATTCTATTGAATAATAATGGTCTATACGCAGTAAAATTTATTTCATGTTTAACCGATGCAAATCTTTTAACTCAATTTTAAAATTACAAAGAAATGCATTGTAACTTATTGTAGTCTGAGTCCAGAAGGCTCTTTTTGGGACATTACAATTGATTAATTGTGACGTCATTGGTGAAAAACTACTTGTTTCTAGTTTTTTTTTACCGCAATTTCGAAACAGAGAAATTGAAAACTGAAATCAAAAGTTTAAATGTCTGTAAATGATTAGGCCAAATAGGACCTTTACCGCACCCTTCCCTTTCAGAAAAATCAAACTAGACCTATCTTATATTAATGTCAACACTGTGTATAAAATTATGGGAATCGGTTGAGGCTATCTTCACTTATTTTATGACAAAGAAATGCTGACAGACGGGCAGGCAGATAGACAAATTGACAGACGGACAGACCGACAGACGGACATACAGACAGGCAGACAGACACACCAAAAGACGGAGTGATTACTATAGGGCACCGCCTAATGGTCTTCGGATCATAATAATAAATCTAAAATTATTGAATATATCACCTAGACACGACAAGATATCATACATAAAACTTTAAGTGTATGGAACACTTTTCCGTATTCAATATTTAAAAAAAAAGACTTAGATCTAAAATGCAACTCACTTAGGCAAAGTCAACCTTAGGCTGTTTTATTTAGGCCTTTTCAAACAAGTTCGTGTGAATGCATTTCCAAAGTTTTGACCTTTAGCGCAGCAGATGAAGGTTAGTAGTATTCTAGAAACAGGTTTCAGGGCACTACAATTAGCAGTATTTGTTTATATCTAAGAAAACTTGAAGAGAACAAGACAACATAACATTCTACAGTTATATACGCCACTATAGTAAAGTATTAACGATAGTCTTTATTTATATATTTAACAATCACATTTAAGAACGTATTGCAGATTTATATCATTGGTACTGTAGTTGATATGCTTTGATTTAAATACTGAATTTTATGCTTGAATTACTTTACAATCATCATGAACAAACAATAAATAAAACTGTATTTGTATAAAATGCTTAGAACTAAACAAAAGAAAATTCTATAGTATATTAGAAAAATGAACTCTGAAAAAAATTATTTATTTTTACAGATTTTGTTCCATAGGATACCACTGTCTGTATCCATTATTCTGGAATTATAACTATGCCTAATAAAGAAGTAACAAGTATATCACATCTCAAACGGCTGGATCGATTTTGTTCAACGGTTATGTTAATGGCAAATTATTCTTTACTTTCCATTTCAACTGGAATGTTAAAAATGTCAAAAGTATAACATATAACGAGTTTAACTTTTATAAATTGTAACTTGGATGGAGAGTTGTCTCATTGGCACTCATACCACATCTTCCTATATCTATTAAAAATTTGTATACACATAATATTTTGTGCAATTTATCATAGTTAAACTATGTTGCATAGCTTCCAATATGTAAATGTACAGCATCATACAACAACATCGTAACAGCAGGGAACATAACTGGCTTAATGCTAAAGTCAAATTCATGATGCCAACAATCAGATGTTTAAAAATAGTACTTTATGTTATATCTTTTTAACAATTAAATGACTACATGCATGTAAATAGTCATGATAAGAATGAATTGCTTGTGTTTTGCTCACACATGTTTGTCAATATAATGGAAGTCTATGCGACTGTCATACAAGTGAGAGGTTTAGTTAGCTATAAAACCAGGCTTAATCCACCATTTTTCTACCTAAGGAAATGCCTGTAACAAGTCAAGAATATGACAGTTGTTTTGCCATTCGTTTGATGTGCTTGAGCTTTTGATTTTGCCATTTGATAAAAAACTTTCTGATTTCAATTTTCCTTGGAGTTCGGTATTTATGTTATTTTACTTTGTTCAGGTACAGGCTTACACGCTCAACATATATACACAAAAATATTTGTATTGCTTGCTTTTACCAAATCAATTTGAACTACACGAATGTATAATACACGACAAAAAGGAACAATTGCTTAACAAACACAATTCATCATAAATGCATCGTGTCAAATCTTTCTGAAAATATAACGATTAATAATTGTATTACTATATGCATGTAAATAGTTCTGATAATCATATATATTAAAGCATGGTAGATATTTCAAATTCAAATCAAACCTTTGAACATTTGTATAAATAATCAATTTCATTGTTTTCATACATTACCAATGTTGGAAATGCATGAATGTATAATACAAAACAAAAAGAAACATATATTTAATAGACATAATTCATCATAAATGCGTTGTTTCAAATCTTTCTGATAACGTTTCCCAATCACCGTCTTCTATTAACTTATTAATCTCTCGAGATATAAGAGAGTCATCAGGGGCAATAACTTCACAAACATAACGAATTTTCTTTGATCGTGTCCAACTAAAACTGTTATCAAAACACAAGAAATCTGAAAAAGAAGTAAAGAAAGAGACAGCTATAAATCTTTTAAACTAAGTTATATAATATATTGATACTAAAGTTTAATTTCATATGATTCACTGTGAGAAAATGTTTCTAAGTGATCTGCTTAATTTCTTACCAACAACAATATACTAAAAATTAACTGGTGTTTTTAAACGAATTTAACTGTAATGATAATTTCTTTGTTTTTATCGTTAATTTATATTATTAAGTTCCAGATTATTATTATTTTGAAGTGATCATGAATAGACATTATATATATATATATATATATAATCATATGTACATATTTGATTAATCTTAAATGATGTAAAACATGACTATGACTTTTTGTAAAAAATATTTCCCTTTAGTATTATTATTATAGCTTTTATTTGTATAGACAGTGTCTTATTAGTCTTTTAAGCCTGGGGATTGATCCTTTTTTCATGTTGTTTTGTAATTTTGTCATAGATCAATATGTGACACTTTTACAAACTATTATTTATCTTATCTTTATCTTATAATCATATTTGACATCATTCTTGATGTGCCTATCCAAATGAGCCTGTAATATTTTGGATGTAGTTGTATTTCAGTTATTCAATAAAAAGATTTTGCAAATAAACTCTGATATTGCTTCATGTTTTAGTTTTCCGGTTTCCTCCTAGATCTTTCATAGCGCTTTAGACAAACCCTAGGGTTTACTTTTGTTTAGAAATATGATCACCCGAATATCTTCGTCCATATTGACTGTTCAGCTATAAAATGAGGTTCACAACATCAAATGATGCGATGTATATACTTTTGAACATAAAGTCTTAAACTCAATTTTGTTTAATAAAACTTTCAAGAGTATTAAACAAGCATAATATAATCAGACAAGGACTAATTAACAAAATATAATTAACATACATTTTCCAGTCTTCTCACAAGTATGAACACCATCTTCCAACACATGGTGACTATTGACTCTTGCCAGTGGTCTAATAGGAACATACTTTTCATTTTCTTCATAAAGGAGACCAAATCCAACATCGTGGTCCTCCGATTGAAATTCCCAACTGAAATAGAAACAAATCAATTAAATTGTGTTTGCCACTGACGTGGTATTTGTTTCCCTTTATTTTAAATTTGCTAGTCATAATTACAATACAGATAGGTTCTTGTAAATTGATCGTAATGCTATTATAATATTATCAAAAATACAAGGCTTATGTAAAAGAATCGTCAGTGATAATTCCGGTTTTGGAATATTAAGGAAACAGTAGTTTACAGATGTCTAATAGCACAAAACGAATACGAAGATACAAGTCAAGATAACAAACAAAATCTGAGGGAATCGCTATGCATGCATCACCCGCAATGCAAATCCACACTCAATCAAAATGTCACAATCGAAAATAGGACAAAATACGCAATATGTCTTAATGCATGTCTGTGGTTCTGTAGAAATTCGAAATGCATTGTGTATTTGGACCACAGCTACTTGGATTAAAAATTAAACACTGGTTTTATGTTTTATGTAACTTTAAATCACTTTAAAGAAAGTGTTATGGTAAAGGTATTCGTATCAGACGATAACTCTGGTATCAAGAAGGTTTCTGACCACGAAAACATGCTTCTAGTTAGTTGAGACACATACATAATGAGACACAAGACACAGACATTATGTCTGTGAACTAATTCATATTGCTGACCGTTAAACTTAAAATGTCGAATATAAAAGTTAAAATATATTCATAGTAAATAAACTCATCACTGATACCTGGCTTAAAATTTTGTACGCCAAATACATCAGTGACGCTCGAATTAAAAAAGTTAAAAAGGTCAAATAAAGTACAAAGTTCAAGAGTATCGAAGACTAAAAGTTCTGAACATATGGCAAAAAAAATAAGGTAATCTATCCTTGGGGTAGAAAATCCTTATAGTTCGTACATCAAAATGTAAGTAATAATCAATCCGTGGTTTAACCATTATCAAGACTTTGTCCGTCAGTCATTGATTGACACAAGAATGACTCATACAATTAGACAATCATGATGTGAAAATCAAACGCCGATAATGTAAAGGAAAATATTTACGTAACGGAGCTTACCATTTGTACATGTGTTAAATCTTGCCATCAAATAACAAAAATCAGAAATTGTCATGGACAGTATTTCTTTTAAAATGTGTTGGATCGAAAGTTGCCACAAATAACTTTCTAAGGGAACAGACATATTTTGTTTTAGATACAGGCTTCGTTTGACCAATGTCACCCGTTTATTTTTTGGACGAGATGATCAGCTTTTTAATTTAATTTAAAGCGCATTTTCCTTTTCGAATAGCAAAAGAAAAGAACTCATACCAGTAAGTGACAATTAGTTACCTTATTACACTACCCGGTTTATCCACTCTGTATTCCAAGTAAAGTTTATCACCACGTGGGACGGTAGTGGATTGCATTTGTGATATATTGTCAGAATTTTGTAAATAATATTTTTCTGGGACTGTTCCTCCTTGGCAAATCTGTAAAATATCACTATTACAAGTTCATTTTTAACTCGTTGGCATACATCAGTACGGTTCATATGGCTGCACATGACAGCAGAGTAAAACATTAAGGATTTTCTATCAAGACCAGTAAACATACCTCTGCGATAACCTGCATTTCAATTGGTGTTTGTGAACTTAATTGCATTAGTAATGTATAATTATGGTATCATTGATACATCTAAGGAATAATTTAATAACAAGGTACCAATTTTTCTGCACAAAATGCGCATTTCGACAATAAATGTCTCTTCAGTGATGCTTGGGGCCAAAATATTTAAAAATCCAAAGGTTATTAAAAATTGAAAAGCTTTTTATAAACCAAAAAGAATTAAAAAGTATGCCAAAGTCGGGAAAGAAATTACAGCTTTTCATGAGGGATATCTATTCCTCAGTTTGAAATCATTTCCAAAATTATGTAAGAGCAAATTCTGATAACACAAAATCCGTATTTTCATGCAAACTTGGTGTTGGCGAACTAGGCTTAGTAGTATATAACAACTTGGGTATCACGTGATACCTCTTATGTGTTCCCTGTTGAACTGACCATAGTAACACATTTAGGATTTCCATCTGGATCTGTTAATCTTCCACCATAACAGGCTGGTAAATTGTCTGGATCAACGTAACGTAACAGTAAGTCTTTGTAATCATCTGTATTGAACAAAAGAAGTTTGGTACTTTTAACTATAAAAATTACTGCATTATTGGTATTCATCACGCAAGCATTACATTAAAAATATTGTAGGAAAAGAGGGACGAAAGATACCAGAGGGACAGTCAAACTCATAGATCGAAAACAAACTGACAACGTCATGGCCAAAAATAAAAAGACAAACAGACAAATAATAGTACAGATGACACAACATAAAAAACTAAAGACTAAGCAACACGAACCCCACCAAAAACTGGGGGTGATCTCAGGTGCTCCGGAAGGGTAAGCAGATCCTGCTCCACATGTGGCACCCGTCGAGTTGCTTATGTTATTACAAATCCGGTAAATAGTCTAATTCGGTAAGTCACATTCGTGAAAAGGGAAGGGTATTGTAGTTACGACATAAGGAACATATTCGATATCATCTGTGAAACGGTTATTCCATAACGGTCAACCAACTCGTGATGGCGTCCGTAAAATTTACGAAGGGATGACTTCAACTTCACCGTTTGGAACTCTTGGTTTAATAGCTTCCTTGTGAGCAGCAATCCTCTATCAAGGAAATCATGATAGGAAACACAAGCCCGGGAATATCGTATCAATTGGGAGATATATACTCCGTATGCAGGCGCTGCTGGAATGTTGCTACATAGAAATGGAAAGTTCACAATTGGGAAGCTGAAATCATCTCTTTTGTCGTAAAGTTTTGTTTTCAACCGACCCTCATTGTCAATAGGAAATGATTGCTGTTTTTTCAAATGCAAGGTAAACATTGATTGTTGATTTTGGATTGCGGTCGTCCATCAAATATCCATTTTTCTAGCTGTTTTAAAAAGTATAAATTCTTTAATAGCCTATCTTATCTGTTAAAACATTGGTGTTCTTATAATCCAACCAAGATAATAACATCGTTAAAACTGAGAAAAATCTACAAGTGAGACTTAAAAAATAAGATAGTTTTCCGCATAATATCGTTTACATGTACCTAAGTCAAACTTAACCAGGATTGGGGATACGTCACGTACGAGATTCCGTATTGTTGATATGTACTAGTTATAAAAAGGTGCAAGCATTACGTACATGGTTCCATGAAATATATTGAAGACACTTGACAGTAATAGAACGTTGAAATAAACAAAATTAATGACAAAAAATTAAAATACAATTTTGCACTTGCATCTGTGCATACAATGTTTATATAATATAATATAGTATAATTACAAAAAGTAGAAAAGGTACTAGTAGCACAAAACATACCTCCTTTTACGTGTATTTTCTGTTTCATCTCTTCACTGATCAATGGTCTTGCAATTTTATACAATAATGGGAATATTCGTGGTGCTAAAAAAAAGAAAAGCATAGAACATGCTCGAAATGTTACTCGCTCTTTCAATTTTCCACTTCTGTAATTATTATTTAACCAGACTATAAGTGGAAAACAATATTTGATACTGCTTTAAACTTACATTCCTGATTTGTTGACAGAAAATAAGAGTGGTCAGAGTAAAGCGCTGACCTTCGGCGGATTCATTGCCAATTCTGTATAACAATAAAATCGGTGCATCATGACATTATATAAAAGACTAACGCAAAGCTTTAACACACAGCAGTGTTGATAGGCTGGTGTAATGTGGAATACATACTCAAGTCACACGAATATCCAGACAGACAAAAGTTATGGAATAAGACACTGATAAACTACTAATATCTTTCAATACCAAGGAAATCCGTCTAAACTCTGTTATGATGATATTTACGGGAGTATTTGTCGCAAAAAAAACATTAACACAATCTTTTATCACTTACCATTTATAACCAATAACCGTCTCATCATTTCTGGATAGTTATCTTCTAGTATTTTTACCAAATGCAAATACATCCGCATCCCTATAAAATTTAAAAAAAAAATGTTATTGTTGTAAATCATTAGAGATTATTAAATTGAAATAACAAATGATTATTTTTGCGCGTCCGTAGCACTTTTCTGGATTTACCTTCATCATGAATACTCATACCGAAACATTAAGAAGCCAGGGATTTATATAAATACTTAGAGACGTTACGGACTACATGACCAAAACTCATTGTTGAAGGCCGGACGGTGATCTATAGTTGTATGTCATTTGGTTTCTGGTGGAGAGTTGTCTCTTGGCAATCATACAACATCCTCTTTTTTTATACAAAAAAGGAAAGCCTAATTCATCTAAAGCCAAGCTGGCCTGATGGATTCAGAACCTTAGTTTCTTAATATTTCTTTTATTCAAAATAATATAGAATAGTTTTGGATCTAATTTATAAAACTATTAGCTCTATGGTTTGTGACAATTTTCTGAATAACGCTTATCATTATCCAAATTAAATACACTCAAAAGATAATTCTGATAAAAACAAAACATTTTCAATTTATAAGAGGGTCTGAATACATTGATAGCCCATTATAATTATCTTGCTTTTAACAGAACTCGAAATATATAGATATAAGAAGATGTGGTATGAGTGCCAATGAGACAACTCTCCATCCAAGTCACAATTTGTAAAAGTAAACCATTATAGGTCAAAGTACGGCCTTCAACACGAAGCCTTGGCTCACAACGAACAACAAGCTATAAAGGGCCCCAAAAATGACTAGTGTAAAACCATTCAAACAGGAAAACCAACGGTCTAATCTATATAAAAAACGAGAAACGAGAAACATTTATGAACCACATCAACAAACGACAACCACTGAACTACAAAGTTACCAGTTTGCCTTGCGCAGGTATGAAGATACTTAATAAGAACCTAATTACACTTAAACTCCATAAGTAACTTTTTTCTTTACACTTTTTCTACCTATACGTATATCCCATATTGCATGTTGTTTGTTTGTATTGTTTATGTTTTTAGTTTCAACGTAAATAAAACAAATGCAGACACGGGGACTCTGGCAGCTTTTTTACTCAAATATAGAAATGCAATTTGTCATTTTAAAAAATGTTGATATGTCTGAAATGATCATGCCAGTTTGCCCAATTTTGGAAACAAAAGCGGACCACCACTAAATAGTGCTGAAAGGGGCGTTAAACACAAAAAAATCAATCAATCTAACCATTAAACTTAACCCAATGTGAAAATTTGAAATGACGACACGGTTTTATGTAGTGAAAATTGTGCCTTTTATTTAAATTATTCATACTTACATACATTTTTAGTTTACTAAATAATTGGTTCGTTTAGAAAACTCAAATAACTATACTTCTATATACTGATAATCCATAAGATTAGGAAACGTAACACTTATACTATGATTGCTAAATCAAAGAAGAGTTTCGACATTCTAGAGCTTACACTGATTATTCAGACTTCGCTGTCTGTTTTCATAAAAAGTATCAATCCGAAAAAGAAAAAAAAGGACCAAAGGCTTCCCAGGAAACATTTCATTGCATTTTATAACAAGTATAATGTAAAACAGGAAAACGGGGTTGAAAAATATTGTATCGAAATGTGAAGGATTCTTCGAGGTAAAGTATACCCGTATAACTACCCTTACAGTGAGGATGCATGACTGAAGGAATGTATAAATTCGCTGTCACGTCTTAAATGTCCAAGAAGTGGTATAACTGAACACCTGTTCTTACCAAGTGGATATAGACTGATTTGGAAGATGTGTAAATACGTATACACGTCTGACATGATAATGCTGTAATATACATATAAAATTACTATTACGAAAGGGGTGCTCGATTGTCTTGGATGTATCATCGACGTCTGGTATGTTTATGTAATGTTTCCTATAACTACTCTTTTATACCCCCATCACACTAGGACCACGATTCCGCTACGACCTTCAAAATTATGAAAAATTTTGGAAGTCGTAGTAAGATCGTGATGGTCGTGGTAAGGTCGTAGTAAGGACGTGCCAAGGTCTTCATGATCGTGGAGGTCCACGACCACCTTTGAACATGCTCAAAACATTCGTATTGCAGTCGTGGCCAAAACTAGTCGTAGTAGAAGCGTAGGAAGGTCGTAGTAAGGACGTAGTAAGATCGGGATGGGCGTAGAAGTATCGTATTGGAAACGTGGTACAATCGGGAAGCCAATGGAAAAGATTTCGCAGCGACCTTACTACGATTTCACTGCGACTATCCCGATTTCACTAAGTCTTAATTATGCTTCTACTACGATATTGATACGATTATACTACGATGAGGAAGACAATAGTACGCTGCTACTATGCGCTTGCCTGTCCTTAGTACGATCTTACTACGATACTACTACGCCATAACCACGATAATTGCACGACCTCATTCTGATGATATAAAACAACTAGAGGCTCCAAGGAGCCTGTGTCGCTCACCTGATAATTTTTGTTTACAATTGATGCATGAAATAATGCAACCATTATACTTTTGCTTTAGTTCCAGAGATATAAGTGAAAAACTGCAATTTACCCCAATGTTTCTATTTTTAGCCATGTCGGCCATGTTCGTTGGCAGGTGGGGTCATGGGACACATTTTTTAAACTAGATACCCTTATGATGATTGTGGCCAAGTTTTTAAATTTGTCTCAGTAGTTACAGATGAGAGGATTTTTGTAAAAGATTACAAAAATTTAAGAAAATAAAATAAAAACGGATTTAAAGGGCAATAACTCCTTAAGGGGTCAATTGATAATTTTGTTTATGTTGACTTATTTGTAGATCTTACATTGCTGAACATTATTGCTAATAACAGTTTATCTCTATCTATAATAGTATTCAAGATAATAACCAAAAACTGCAAAATTTCCTTAAAATTATCAATTCAGGGGCAGCAACCCAACAACAGATTTTCTCATTCGTCTGAAAATTTCAGGGCAAATAGATCTTAACCTGCTGAACAATTTTATCCAATCAGATTTGCTCTAAATGCTTTAGTTTCAGAGATATAAGCCAAAAACTGCATTTTACCCCTATGTTCTATTTTTAGCCATGGCGGCCATGTTGGTTGGCAGGCGGAGTCATCGGACACATTTTAGATACCCTTATGATGATTGTGGCCAAGTTTGGTTGAATTTGTTTATGTAGTTTCAGAGGAGAAGATTTTTGTAAAAGATTACAAAAATTTACGAAAAATTGTTAAAAACTGACTTTAAAGGGCAATACCTCCTTAAGGGGTCAATTGACAATTTTGGTCATTTGACTTATTTGTAGATCTTACTTTGCTGAACATTATTGCTGTTTATAGTTTATCTCTATCTATAATAATATTCAAGATAATAACCCAAAACTGCAAAATTTCCTTAAAATTACCAATTCAGGGGCAGCAACCCAACAACGGATTTTTTTATTCGTCTGAAAATTTCAGGGCAGATAGATCTTGACCTGATTAACAATTTTACCCTATTTCAGATTTGCTCTTAATATTTTGGTTTCAGAGATACAAGCCAAAATCTATACTTTTCCCCTATGTTCTATTTTTAGCCATGGCGGCCATCTTGGTTGGCGGGCCGGGTCATCAGACAAATTTCTTAAACTAGATACCCCAATGATGATTGTGGCTAAATTTGGTTAAATTTGGCCCTGTAGTTTCAGAGGAGAAGATTTTTGTAAAGGTTAACGAACGACGACGACGACGACGGACGACGGACAACGGACGCCAAGTGATGAGAAAAGCTCACTTGGCCCATTGGGCCAGGTGAGCAAAAAACCAGATGCAATGACTTCTACCTGTAGTTCAACCATGGACACACATGAGCAAAACATACTTCTGCAATCTTTAACTCAGCTGCACTGTATCGATTTGTCTGATCAGGCTACACTTTTAGTTATAAGAAGGAGAAGACATACTAGACAGCGTAGGTCCTGTTGGGTGCGCCCTTGGCTATCTGTTGAAAAAAGACTCCATTTTGGGCATTACAACCGACTTATGAAAGAATTAAGGATGGAGGATCAATAATCATTCTTTAATTTTTTAAGGATGCCTCCAGAAATGTTTGATGAACTTTTGAACAGAGTAAGTCCTCGAATTCAGAAGATAGATACCGATTCAGAAAGGCACTAGATCCTGGTCTGAAAATTGCTATTACTTTAAGGCACTTAGCTTCTGGCGTCTCGGGTCCTCATACTGGCGTACCATGTTTTCAATATCACGACAGGCTTTCTCAGTTCAATCGACTTTTCCATCCATAGCCTTTCCTTTTTACCAGTATCCTTATATGAAGTCATCTTTTTATTATAAAATATGGGATAAATAGCAAGTCACTCCGCCATGCTTTGTTCCTCTTCTAAGGACTAATCGGATTTATTTGTTATATTTTGGATTAAATTAAGAGACTGATCACCTTCCTCTACTTTAAGCAACACGACCTGTAAGTGTTTTTGATACCTTTGGCGGCATGTTTTCTCAAGGAAACTGGTGTGTACAATGGGAAAGTCAACTGAGATATTTATAGGGACGAAGAGCGCAGTGACAACGTAGTGAAAACGTAGTGGGGTCTTGGTTCGATCGTAGTAGACTCGTATTGACATCGTAATGCGATCGGGAAGGTCTTGGTAGAGATCGTGTTAGTCGTGGTAAAGTCTTAATAGACGTAGCAAGAGCGTGACAAGATCGTAACTAGAACGTGTTACTATCATAGCGGAATCGTAGCAGGATCTTATCAGGATCATAGCAAGGTCGTGGTATAAACGCGAAAACTATAAAATATTGAATATTCAAGCCAAACATACCACTATCTTACCGCGATCTTATTTTTTATAGATCGAAGTGGGATCTTCGTGGTCTTGGCATAGTGTGAAGGGGCCTTTACCAAGAGACTCGTGGCTGTTTAGGATATTTAAGTAAGTAGTTAATCCATATATTTGATTGTAGATATGTAAAGTTTTTGGGGGTTTCGAAGTGATCAAACCACTTTGTTTAAATTTAGAATGAAATGAAAATTTGAAATGTCTATATACAGTGATGAGTGATTGCATATAGCGATAAAATATAACAGCATAACAACAACAGACGAAAATGAATAAATAAATGATAGACAGAGAAAGGATTATATCATAGTGTCTAATTTTTCATTTTTATTCTGAAAATGCAGACTCATTATCAGGAAAGCTAATCAAACCTACCTGGAACCCATAACATTGAAGTTCCTGTATCAGCCATATCAAATATAACTGTTAAACCATCAACAGGTCGTCCTAGCTATAAAACAAAGACAAATAATTAGCTAGTTTTTTTTGTATGAGAATAAGATTACAAACCGTTCTGAAAATGACGAAAAAGAATGGTGTTTGGCTGAAGATATACTTAAGTTGCATTGAGCCTACATGTATTTTAGTACAGATAAGTTTATTACTAGTACAAGTTTGACAAATATGAACCATTACAAAAGTACGTGTCAAATATGTCACTACTTTACGTAATTTATTGTCTCAAGCTTGAACTTGCACGTTCCTTACAGATAGTGTGCATATCACGCGTGGTTAACCGTCTGTTGAGTTCGATTATGCTTGTTTAATAATCGTTTTATCACAAATTATACAGCTAAATACGTGAAGTGCAAATCACTAAAACTGAAATCGAGTTTTCATAATCAGAATCAGAAAATTGTAAAGAAGCTGCAATAAGAAAATTTCCACTGTTTTACCATAGGTGTCCGAAATATAGTTCGAAACTTTTAAACAAAATTTGGATATAAAGAAACGAACTGTATTGAAACGTGTTATTTCATGTATATTGAGAACGAGAATAATTAACACTTGATATTTTTTACGAAGTGAGTTAATCGGTATTAAGTACAAATAACAACGAATGCCACTTGAAAAATAGGCGATGCTTGATAGTGGTAGACATTTGGTCTTACCACACGTCACTACAGATCTGCTCCATTAGTAGCACCCGTCATGTTTCTCGTGAAGTTTGAAGAAGCGTAAGACGCGCCCATAATATCAAATGGCATTTGAAAAGAATATATATTGTAGACAAAACAGCCCACTGAAAAGAGCAAAACATTAAACTCGTTCAGTCTGGAAATTGCATGAAATTTCTATTTAAGTGATTTACCTTTTTGCTTTGTTCTGCCCAGTCTCTTATTGTCAATTCACATTGCAGAAGTTTTGTTTTTTCTAGGTCAGACTTTTTTGTAGAAAACATCAGGCCTTTGATATCTAGCTTTCCAAACAATTCCACGCGTAGTGGTGACCCATCAATGGCATGACCACAAAATCCACCAGTTAAGTATTTTCGTAATACCTTAGGTGTGTAATAAAATATATCATATGATATTAGGTCGCATGGAATAATGAATTTACGTACAACGAGTAATTATGGTTTTGTCAAATCGAAATGGTTGCATTTCGATGAAGTGTTTTTTATTATAAAAAAATCCCATCGTTATTTTTTTCTTTTTATACATGAGTTGATGGTATTATTAAATAATAAATTAGATAGACTACTTAATCTAAATCTAATTTGACACATCTATTAAAATTTTCCTCCACGTTAAATATACAAAAGGTTCGCTTAATTGATTGATTGATTGATTTGTGTTTAACGCCACTTTCACCCCTGTTGTGCTCTTTCGTGGCGGTCAGTTTTTAGTAGTGGAGAAGGAGGCCGTAGTGCCCGGAGAGAACCGCTAACCTTCGAAGGTTCGAAGGTCACCCCTCCTCAACTCGCCGACAGAAAGACGATAGTAGGTTCGTCATTGTCATCTTGGTGTTTATTTAATGTAACTTTAGTTAGCCAAAAAAATGTAATAAAACTGGAGTTAATTTGTCCAAACTGTTTGTAAATGAGAAGAGGGAAATTTTCAGATGTTCTCTTTTGTAGTTTTCTAAATTAAAAACTATATTTCCGAGGATAGCGGTCCTTAACTAAAAACATCTCAACGACTTTTCTTATGATTCCTTAACTCTGGTAGTATATCTAGTGTTAACAAGGTTTTGTACATTTACTTGAAATCCATTCGTTTTCTTATTTGTATTGGCATGATGGATATTTTGTTTATTTGTATACATGCATGTGTTGTTCAAGTGAAGACTGTAAAATTATTGCTATACAATCTCTGCAATACAAATAACAAATATGGACTAGTCTCTGCTACAGACCATGGAGGAGATATATCTTTGTCTGTATTTTACGAACACAGGCAGCAACTATTAGTATTACAATGGATAATGTTTAAGTTTAATTATTACCTCAGGTGGCTTGTACTCTTGAAGTAGAGTATTCACTTTTATCTTTTGTTTGAAATCGATGCTCTGTTGAAAAGAAAAAAAATATGAATAAAGTAATTATGTATAAATATTATATCAATTATGGTAAGAAAATTTTAACTAATGTTAAACATTAGCAATAAGTATCTGATTATTTATAATAGAAATACTCTGAAATATGTTCATTTTCCCACTTGAAAAGCTACCCCTCTTGTTTAAAACTGCTAAAAATCTGGAAGCTTTATTTATACCCCCTTTTAATTCTATATCATCACGTTTGTCAACAACGACTTCAACGAGCTTTTTTTAAAGGACTCATTCAAGCACGAATAATACATTGACATGACCTACGTTGAATGATTAAATAGTGCAAATGCACTGACTCTCTAAAATCGATCTGTTTGTATAAATGCTATTAATAATATCAAATTAAAAAAAATATATATATGGTACACTAAAGTTAAGTATGTGGTCGATGACGCACGTATATATTACAGTCGTGTAATAAAAGATCTGTATGACACTAAAATGACTTGAATATCCTATACTCTGGTTTCATAAGGTTGGAAAAATGTATTACTATAAAATATCTTGTTTTTACATCATGGAATGTTCCTTAAGTTTACAGTTTGTGTTGAGTACGATTTTAAATTTAAGTAGCGAGTTTTCCTAAGATTGGACGAACTTTTTGAACACATAATAAAAAAATTCATCCAACTCAGACATTTACTTAATTAGAATATACGAACACAAATTGTCGTTAAGAAGAAAAAGGAACTCGGGTTATTACGTTTCATCCTTCTAATATACTTATTCAAATACAATTAAAAGACGGTGTTGGAAAAGAGGGACGAAAGATACCAGAGGGACAGTCAAACTCATAGATCGAAAACAATCTGACAACGCCATGGCCAAAAATAAAAAGACAAACAGACAAATAATAGTACCGATAACCATTTCAAACTATTGTAATCTTATTAAGGTAATGTTTGAAATTATCCTGACTTAAAAATGTATCATCTAGAATTAATTGTGCTTGTTATCTCTAAATATAGTAAGATGATGATATCCTAAATAATAATGCAATTGGCGAATAGCAGAATGTTACTTCTTTATATCAGAAACGTGCAACGAACGAAGTGTTAACAGTTATTTCAGAAACATCAATTTCAGATTGATTGACTTAAAGCTTATGGCTTTTCTCTTTTGTTAGTTATTGTATTATGTGCTTCGCACCAAACTGACGAGTCAATCCCTTCCACCCTTATAGCTAGCTATAAATCCAGGTTTAATCCACCATTTTCTACATAAAGGAATGCCTGTACCAAGTCAGGAATATGACAGTTGTTTTCCATTCGTTTGAGGTGTTTGAGCTTTTGATTTTGCCATTTCATAAAGGACTTTCCGTTGTGAATTTTCCTTGGAGTTCGGTATTTTTGTTATTTTACTTTTTCCAAACTGATTTATACAGTTTGTTCTTTTGTTGTGCTATTACACAACTGTCCTAGGTTATGGAAGGGTTGAGCACACACAAACATGTTAAACACCGCCTCGTTCTTTATGTCTTTGTCCCAATTCAAGTTAGGAGACGGTAGTTCAGTGGTTTTTGTTGTTTGCCGTCTGTCATATTTCTTTTTCGTTTATTGTTTCTAGCATAAATTTAGGCAACAGTGTTTTACTGATGTCTCACTAATCAACTAATAAGGTACAAATCAAGGTAACACAAATCATCTAAGGAACAGTATGAATCCAAAAGGAACCATACCGGAAGCTTTTACAGGGTAAACATGGCCTACTATAAATATAGCACCTGCCATGCGAATCCACATTCAGTCAAAATATAAAAAATCGGGAATAAGACACAATGTGTAAAATTACAGATCTGACGCATCTGGTGCAGTAAAATTAGTACTGTTAATGGTACAAGTATTTCAAGCTATAAGACCGGGAAAACATGTCGCCAGAGAGTTGAAACATAGACACATCGTATATGTCAACCAATGTTCGATGGTGACCGTAAAACTTCTGTATATCGATTTCAGTCGTTCTACCTCACAGATCTGTTGGAGTAGTCTTTGTGTAAGGATCACATCCCTGTTAATGAAGTATGTATATTTTGAACATGAACGAGCGTTACGTATTAATTGTACTATGTAAATGCAATACATTTACGATGGGCAGAGGGTATGTTAATCTGTGTCAATATCGAGGAAAAGATCAAAATATGAGGTCACATCGATAACTCGAACATTTTGTAAAAATAGAAACAAGATTTCAAAAGGTCAATAAAAAAAGTAAAGTCGGAAGAAGACACTTATGTTGTGCTGTTACACCATTGTCCCTAATTGGGGTAGGCTTGAGCGCTCAAAAAACAGGGAATATCGCCCGGAGGTCAAATATAGGACTAGGGAAAAGCATGCGATCGTTAATTCAAGGAAATAATTGGACTGAAAATCAACTACCAGGACTGAATAAACACTTTAAATCATGAAAAAGCTAAATCATTGTTCAACAACTAATACCATACATATTTATAACCTTTTGAAACCAACCCTTCTCATTTGGTATCATCCTATCTTTTATTATCCATATAGTTACATATTATGTTTAATCATTAAACCAGACCACACATACAAATAACCAGGTCATTGGTTTTATTCCTAGGCACAATATACAGAATTTAGGTTACAACATATGTTTTGTTGTCAATCGAATATAAAAAAAAAAGATAACTTTATATTACTTTAGATTCGGCATTAAACATCATTTGAGTCATATTTATAATATTTAAAGAGGTCCTTTTACAAACAAGTGTGTAGTGTATAACAAGACTGTAAATTACGCATTATTCACCAATGACCAATATTACGGTGAAGATCACAGTAATCTAATTTAAGGTGGATCATCGGTATATAATTCCTCAGATAGAATTTTTTTTATACTTTACCAAAATGAAGATTTTACTATGCTTTGTTTTAAAATATAATAAAAAGTATGGGTCACCGTGCTATTTTTCAAGCTACAAGTTGTGCAAAATTGCCCAAATTTGCATAGATTGTTCATGAAAAAACGCATTTTTGTGAATAAAAAGAAATCTATGAGATAGAATTTTGAAATAAAATATGAGAAGATAGGTTTTATAATATGCTTTAAGAAAATAAAAAGAAAAAATGGGGTCACCGAACTTGTGTTCTTGCTACAAGTAAAAGATAAAAATTTCACAATCATTCCAGTATAAAATTTTTACTATAAGAGTTATCTCCCCCTAAATGGCTAAGTTGAAAAATTGATTCTAAAAAAACACAAATATTTGTTATTTGTTTAAACATTTTGAATAATGTAATAAATCACGTATTTTCACATAAATTGCAAACCTGTCTCAAAATTTGCAGACTAAGGCAATGAACTAGACTGATAGTGTACTGCTATTGTACAATCCAAGATGGCGGTATACAGTCTTAAAAGGTTGTATAACAAATACTTACGTTGCGTAACATTTGTTCCGCTTTCCTAACATCAAAGCACCGAGCTGTAAATAAAACACATACTTAAAATCCTTTAAAATTTAATTCTTTATCGTTTTTGCAATGAAAAGATGAAGGATATTTAATTTTAAGTTATAGTTTTCATTTTTGTTAGTTATTGTTACTACAGAATATTATAAAGTTTTATATTTACTAGTTCTGTAAAGTTATAAACATATTAACGTTTATTGTTGCTAGCATAAATATATACAATACCGAGTCACAAAACTTACACGGTAAATTTGACCACTTTGCCATTGAAACAAGCACTATAAAGCACCTGACTTCACAACTCCCACAACCGTGTTCTGATGTGTTTGTGATGCTCAGTTTTTTGTTTTCGCAGACGCTATAGGGTTTGGTCTGTCTGTGCGTCTGTCTTTCTTTCAACCATGGCATTTTTTTTTTATTTTCCACTGCTTCCCACGTGGTTATTATTCTTTTTTTTTCTATTCAATGTTTTCTTGTGCTATGTAGTGAAGGATTGTCTATATTTTCATATAACATCATGTACATTTATCGTTTTAATTGTTTCTTATTTGTCTTAATTTTTACAAAAAAGAGCGAATGTATGTCTGGAACTAATCGGTATCTGTTAAAATACAACAACAGTTTGTTTTAAGAAGATCAATTTGTTTATTATTCTAGGATGATTTTGAAAGTTTTATATAGAGACAAAAAAATCCTTACCTCGAAGCCATTTTTCCAAATCATAGCTATTTTGGTCTGCAATGTCTTTTGTATTTTCTTTAAACTTAAATCAAAAAATATATTTTAAGATCAAGCTGAAAGATCATTATTTTATTTCATTATATTACTGTACGAAAATGTCAGATTTATGAGAAGAGAATTTATACATCTGGTTGCTATTTTATATCCAGTAGTACAAACCGAAACAAATGTTGTTGTTTTTTTTGCTGTGTATCCTATTTGTTTTAGTTAATTGTTTTGTACATAATATGAATAAGAAGATGTGGTATGAGAGTCAATGAGACAACTATCCATCCAAGTCACAATGTGTAAAAAGTAAACAATTATAGGTACGGCCTTCAACACGGAGCCTTGGCTCACACAGAACAACAAGCTATAAAGGGCCCTAAAAAGACTAGTATAAGTCTGTTTTTTTTTCTTTTGCATTGTTTTACATTTGTCATGTCGGGGCCATTTATAGCATGCTATGCAGTATGGGTTTTGCTCATTGTTAAAGGCCGTATGGTGACCTATAGTTGCTAACTTTTACGTCAGTTTGGTCCCTAGTGAAAAATTGTCTCATTGGCGATCATACCCCATCTTCTTATACATTTTGATTTTATATTTTATGGAGTATACACCATTTTACTACAAAAATTTAGGTATATACATGTTACTTGATATTCTTTGATATTCTAACTATAAACATGGTGTATTGGTGTTAATCAATGAAACAATGTAAAACAAGTATGAATAAAAAAGTATAACAAATATACCGAACTCCAAGTTAAAACCAAAATGTGGAATATCATAAAACCTGACAAAATCAATCGTTAGACTATATCAACAAACGGAACGAATGGAAAACAAGTGTCATATTCCTGACTTGGTACAGACATTTTCCGAAGAAAACGGTGGATTAATTTTAAATCTAGATTTACGGCTAGCTAAACCTCACACTTGTATGACAGTTGTTAATAATTCCGTCACATTGACAAAATTGGGTGAGCAACCCAAACAGACATAATATATTAATGTGACAATAATTGGGATCCAGCAGCCAAAACTGTGTAAACATACACCACAGACATACAATACAACTGACTGAAAATTCAAACAAACATACAAAGATTTAACAAAGACGCCAACTAAAAAAGTTGTTGTATCTAATAGTAAATTTGACAAAGACGCCAACAAAAAAGTTTATTGTAGTACATTACTGTAGTATAAAACTCTTTTTAGAATAGAGCAACATTGACAGATATGCACGCATTTTTAATGTATTAGTTTATGTTAAATATATTTGCTTTTTTGCAGATCATTGTAGAAAAGAAATACTAATTTTACATTTTTTTTGACTGCTTAACCTTTTCTTATAATTATGTAAAAGGACACATGCGTTTCCTGTTGAGAATTTTGTCAGATAGGTACTGTGAAATGGGGCATAGTGCAAACAAGTAATGAGGCGAAATTACTTGTCTGTGAAAATTTTTTATCTATGAACCTTATCCAACTAATAACTACATAGGAGCAGAACACATTTTCAAATTCGAAATTTTGATTTGATGTGTCCATGTTTTAATACATCCAATTTAACAAAATGTATCTATCAATAACCAGCTCTAGATACCGGAGAGAGAATTCCATGTTTCAATATATCTCTGGATGTAGATCCATACTAGTATACCTGTTGCAATGCCTTTTGTTCTTTCGGCGTCAAGGGTTTTCTGCTGTAATTGTTGTTAGCGTTTATATCGTTCATTTTTAGAAAAGCTGAAATAAAAACAAATACTGTGCAATTAGCTTTTGCCTTGTACCATTTTCAAAATAAAGAAATTCAGAGCAATTGTTTTTAAATGAATCTGCTTCCATTTTTTAATCTCTTGGCAAGGGAACGCTAATTCCCGCTGATCTGACAGCAACATTTTGACATGTAGTTAGTTATCTAATTCAAGCTCATCAAACTTAAGACTAAGAGCTATGCAAACTATGAAAAGTGTTTGCAAAACGTAAACCCAATAGAATTTGTTAAAGAAATATGATGATAATTCAAATGCAACATGAGCATAGTATTAAAGATTAAGGGAGCTACCATTTGATTTTTTATGGGGGGGGGTTAGGATGAAAAATTTTGTCCTGCATTTTTTTTTAGTTGTAATCTCTGTCCTGCCTTTTTATTTTTTACTCTATTCGGTCCTGCCTTTTTTTATTAGTTTATCCTGACTTTTTTTACATACATTGTCATCCTGCTTTTTTTTTTTACTCAAAACTTCTGTCCTGCCTTTTTTTTCAAATTTCAAAAAGAATATTTAATAAAAATATTCGTGGACACGGGAAAATGTTCCGTAATGACCTTTGAAAGTCATCTTTACCTAACGAATGACCAATAGAAATGCCGCTATTTCGTTACACATTACAGGATAGACCAATCAAATAAACGCATTTTTATTGAAGAAAAATCACAAATATTCGTGGCCACGGGAAAATGTTTCCATTATGACCTTTGAAAGGCATCTTTACCTAACGAATGACCAATAGAAATGCCGCTATTTCGTTACACATTACAGGATAGACCAATCAAATAAACGCATTTTTCGTATTATTCACACTCCGTTCATTGTTTTAAGAGCAATATCTCTTCAATCCGGAGATAGATCACATAAGTGAATATATGTCTATACATGCACACATATATATTGTATCTTCTACACTATGTTTATTAAACTCAGTAATAATAGGTATTAGAATAGAGAATGGAAACGGGAAATGGATCAAAGAGGCAATTAACAACCCGACCAAAGAGCAGTAAACAGCCCAAAGCCACCAATATGCCTTCAACACAGAGAGAAAAATCCGCACCCGGAGGCGGGCTTCAGCTTGCTCATAAATAATAATGTATACTAGTTCAGCGAAATAGACGCCACACTAACTCCGAAACATACACATGAATTATTTGTTTTGTTTTGCATGTCATTATGGTTACCTTTGATTTATTGATACTTGCAAAATTTAAAAGTATCATTTGTTTAACAATAGTGTTAAACACTTACCTTAATGCACATATCACAGTTTAATGTCCATGTATCTTCATTGTCTGTTATCCAAAAATCTGAAGCATACATAATAAACAAGTACATTAAGAAACCGTTGCGGTAGGTATTTTATGGCATTATTGTAGGTTTATCGATATTTATTTATTTATCTATGTCTGAATCTAAATTCAAATAATCTGCAGGTAGTTAGTAATGAACAGATTTACGTCTATTATATGTAATGATAAAAATGAAACCGACATTTAATATGAATAAAAGGAGATGTGGGATATACGTCAATACGACAGCAACCAGACGATAAAAAGAAAAACCTTTTAGGGGGCAACATACAATCATCGGCAATATGCGGTGTCTATATAATATAACAAGTTCTAAATCGTCCCGAGTCCTTAAAAGTTGTGAATAAAGTAGACAAACAGTCAAAGATCTGCAATCATCACCTAATTCTCCTTATAAGAACAAACAATTAAAATATGACACAAAATAACCACTGCCAAGGTTACTGAATTGTGATAGACACATAAATGTGTTGCGATAATAAACCACATTTCCTCTTTTTAATCTTGATCATGCAAATAAGCATATGTTTTTTTTATATTCAACAGATCGATATGTTTAAAAGAAAAGGGAATTTGACTTACACAAATTGAGACAAAAGTCCACAACCTATATATTTCTTTCCAATATAATCGTTTTGGACATGGGAAGAAAACAATTCGTCTTCGACTGAACAGTGTAATGAAATGTAAAATGGAGTGGAGGCCTACTATAATAATTGCTTACATCATAGATGTACAAATGACTTTATATACATAGTATAAAGTAAGATTACTTACATCCACGTCATTATGACTCTGATGGATAGTTGAATCATGAACTATCAATACTCATCTCCTTTTTTATATTGTCACTTGTAATATACACATTTGTTATCTGAATGTAAATAATTATCACACCCGAGCACGCTCCAGATTAACATTTAAGATACATATTTTTCTAACCAGTTCATCTGTTAACTTTCATGTTGCTTTATAACTCCTGGACCAAGTGGTAATGAAGTTAAGTCGAGAATGTATAATAATGCAGTTCCCATTAAATTATCGTGAATAAAAAATTATACTTTAAATTAATCTTGTTTTATGTCAATATGAATAGGTCAAACAGCTACAATCCTTGGCCCGTAACTTGTTTATTTCTGCTCTTTTTATTTCTAAATTTCCACTCCAATTATTAGCAAAACGCTTGATTAAAAACGTACTTTTAACCAAATATAAGTCAAAAAATCGAAGCAAGTGTCAAGAATTTTACATTCTATGTGGTAGAATTCTTTTCTGAAGGGGTTGAAATTTGACTGTGTCGGTTTTTTTACATTTTAGCGTCATCTGCACTATTTAGGACTCCTAAACTTTAAAAGAATCTCTTAACGTCAATATATTAAAGTATTGAAAACGATGTTAATATTTCCTACAAAATGTCACCTCCATCAATTTTATAATTTATCATATTAAAAAATACAAATATATTAAATAACAGAACAATATATTTACCCAACTAAAATTGTTTTTGATACATATAGTTCCCAACATTCACTGCGAAAATAGTCCCGGAATATCTTGACGAAAACAAAAACAACAATTCAATAATAAATTTTTCAAATACCAAAACAGTCAATGGCCGAACTAAATCTGTCCACCTAATATACGTTAAGTCCTCCGGCTAAATAATGGTCATTAAAATGACCAGTAGACGTCTAGACCGTAGAGATATTTAATAATCTTGACGGATAATGGGGCTGGTTTTATAACATATTGTACTTTTTATTGTGTATTGAATAAATACATAAATACATGTCTTGTACTATTTTATTTAGTGTGTCAACATACTTTATAAACGCGTACGGTATACAAATCTATCAACACGTCTTTATTTTGTGAGAAATAAACAATATAGGAATCATATTCATGTACTTGCCATGTCAATTATTTTAAAGCAATATATAAATCGGTTTATTAGGAAGCAATGGAGTAGGTTACACTAATAGAATATTAGACTTCTGTTAATTAATAACATCACTTTATCCTTCCATGTTCAGTGGCGGATCCAGGGGGGGGGGGGGGGGGGGGGGTGGGGGTGTGGGGGTCCGGGTTGGAACCCCCTTTTTTGACGATCAATGCTTTTGAATGGGGATATATGGTTGGAACCACCCCCCCTTTTAAAAATGGCTGGATCCGCCTCTGATGTTAGTAGCTATCTGACATTATTTTAGCAACTTGTTTTCTACACTGCAAAAGAATTTAAGTGTCAGACAAGAATGGGATATATATACACCTGCTTAGTGTTATATTTTTCAAAAATATTTATTTTGATTCAGATAAAATAACTTACTTGAAAGTAGATAACCAAACAAACTTTAGCTTACATTTTAACTGCTATTATAACTACATTTGGTTTAACGCAGCAAATTTAATTATTTTTACAAGACCATTATTCAGTATTGTAGCCTATTTCACAGATGAGTGTTACAGTTGAATACCTCTCTCTAAATAGATATGTTTGAAAGGCAATTAAAATTAAACGTGTTTCAAACCATAAAAAATCTCTTGATTTAGTTTAAAATCTTGTTTATATAATTGTTGACGTTGATTTTTAGAATTAACGATACGTAAATAAGGATATATAGGATACATAAACAATTATGTAAATGTTGAATTTTATTGTTCAACCAAGTATATATCCCCTTGAACTATGACATTATGCAGGGTATTTCCAACAATAACAACAATATTGCGTTATTCTCTAAACAAAAATCAAAGGTACAGAGAATGACACGCAAAAAAGATATATTTGGGGTGTTTAACGACCTTGTCTACCCATGAGGCTCTCGCACGGTGGGTAAACAAAAAAGATGTACAAATAATACATAGTATTAAAGAGGTAAGCAAACATTTTTGTAGTAAGAGATACAATATGAAAACAACATGATAATGTGGTATAGAACGGCGGACCGATTTTCTCCTTTATTATTTTAATTAGTTTACACAGTTTTTTTTAGACCAGAATATTTCTTTATATTAAAATGTTTCTGAAGTTGAATACATTTGGGTGACATGAAACACATGGGGGTAAATAGAATTTCCCTTTAGTTTTTGAAAGCAGGACATACTAATAAAGTACTCGTCTCCTATCTCTGATGTGTAGCAAAATGTGCATTTTTTTTCTCTGTTCTGTCTTGTGTCCTTAATTTACAAATAGTTCTAGTAATATAATCTACTTGATTCCAGGAAGCCTTTAATAAATCGTTAGAACGTCTATTCTGATTGGTTGAATGACAGTTGTAGTATGCTTAACGTCCAGTGGCTTATTGTGTTGATAAAATGTAAATAGGGATATCAGAAGATTGTTAGCAAAGTTGAATATTGAGATTAATTAGAATTTAAAAAAAAAAAATGTACACGTACATGTACATGTATTATTTGCAACTTTTAAATCTGCAAATCCTAATAAAGCATTGATCAAACGTTTTGTTTTTCTACGTTTTTAACTAGAGATTACAACAGATGGAACACAAGTTTTCGCTAAGGAAAAGGCAAATTCTTAGAACAAAATTGTTTAACAATTGCAAAATTTGATGGGCAAGGCATTCGGAAAAAAACACGTGGACTATCCATCGTGCAAAAATCAGCACTTAGTACTTTGTTAGTTTTTGTGTAAATTGAAGTTCAAAATAGATTGTATTTGTCGAACCAACCTTTAAGAACGGGTACGTTTAAGACTTATTGTTGGAAAGCATCTATACTACTAAAATAACGAGGTCCAATTTGTTAACCGACATGACGTAAAAACGATGAATCAAAGAATTCAACTTTATATATATAACTAATATAGGACAATGGTGTTGTTTAAAAATTACACTACACCATTCCTGACCCTTTTATTTTCCACATAATTAGTCTTATTAATAATCAACAAGTCCCGGGTCGAATCCGATACCGATACCGATACCAATAGTATATGTCACATGTAGTTTCCGGTTGTAGTTACCTGTTACCTTCTGTAAATCCCTCCTCTATCAGGATAACCTCGAATTATTCGAGAAGTTGTTTAATATCTATGTTACACGATAGTACACTATTTAACAAGTCTGTTTTATTCCACCACAATACCACTATCAATTTTGGTTAATTAGTTAAAAAAAATTAAATTTACTTTAAAGTAAGTTTATAGTAGTTAGAAAACCAAGACGGGTTCAAACAGAAAAAAATTGAAAGCAGAGAAAACTTTGCAACTTACAATCAGCATGACTTTATCAGATGACAAAACGAATACTAAAAATCCAGGCTAAGAATAAGTCATAGGTACTTTAATTCATTCACGGACCCGCGATGTAAAGTATTAAAAGAGTACAGTTAACAAATGTTTAGAAGAACATATACCAACATATTTTTTTGCACACATTACGACATAAAAAAATACATACGCATTACTAACTTTAGCTATTTAAATATTTGTAAATGTTCAAAATGTTTTTATTATAATAACACATACAAACACTATACAAACAATTAAAAATGGACAAATACGAGTTTTTGTACTTATAGTATAAACTTAAACAACTTTATAAAAATACAATTAAAATTGACATAATCGAATATATATATGTACGGCAAGTATCACGCTTACACATCTCAACAAAGTAAAACCATTAAAAATTGACAAAATGGAATATAATATGACTTAAAGTTACTTTTTAAAGTAAACGCATATCATTTCATATTAGTAAATATAGATAAACTCATTAAGAAAAAATGTTTTTAAAATTTAAATCAGTCCTACCTTTGTGTGTGTCTGTTGGTGTTTATTATTTTCAGTTCGGTGCGTATCGATTTGCATGGTGAACTCTGCATGTTAATTTGGCAAAGTCATCCTGGCTTGACATTGATAGCACTTAAAAGGTAAACTACCGGTCATGCCAGGTGAGGTTAGCGTCATAATACAGCCCGTCCTTATAAAGCATAAAAAGGTTTCTTTTAGAAGAATAAAGTTAGAGCCTACCAACATTGATTAGCTTTGTTCTTTATAACTCTTGCAAACAATTCACTGTATATACTTCTGTGCCTTAATATGATAATAAATTACAAAACAATTATTACTAATCGATGAATTCAAATGTTTTGATGAGAGATTATTTGTCGAAATGCGCATCTGGTGTAGTAATATATGCACCGTTAAATCTTGTTATTATCACTGGATCGATACTTCTACTGGTGGACTATTAGTCCCCAAAGGTATTATTACCAGCTCAGTTGCTCTGTAATTCGGTACTGACATGAAAACACGGATATTGCTTCTATTAAGCAACCAACAATCAATATATGCAATTTTAGTGATAAAAATTAGGAAATCATTTGAAATTACGGAATGTATCTCTCTCATGTATAGCTCTGATCTCTTGTCCAAGTTATTAAGTTTTGGATATTTTGTCCTCGAGCATCACTGGAAAGACATTATTTGTCGAAATGCGCATATTCAACATTGTCTGAAGTTAATGAATCAAGAAAAGGAAATACCGCATGTATTGGACTCGAGGGAAAATATCAGCTCTGACCGAGAGTGCTTGTACTATAAGTTTAATGCAACAGTGTTGTGAATACCCGTTGTAACTTGTCCCGAATCACATCACCCTTTATCTTCCTATTATACTGCAGTATGCATGGGGAAAATACTTACTTTTGATTTTTTATCTAGAGTGAATGACGAATTGTATTAAACGCTTTACATATTATGTCGAGAGTTCAACATGCGGCATATTTTCTGAGAGCTCGAAAAACGACATATTATTTGGGGTGCTCGATATACGACATATTTTCTGAGTGCTCGAAATACGACATATTATCTGTAGTGCTCGACATACGACATATTATCTGAAGTGCTCGACAAACGACATATTATCTGGAGTGCTCGACGTATGACATCATCTCGATTGCTCCACATGTGACATATTATCTGGAGAGCTCGACAGGCGACATATTATCTTGTGTGGTCGACATATGACATATTATCTGACGTACTCGACATATTAAATATCATCTGGAGTGCTCCACCTATGACATATTATCTGGAGTGCTCGACAGCCGACATATTATCTGACATATTCAACATATGACATATCATTTGGAGTGCTAGACTTATGACATATCATAAGGAGTGTTTGACATACGAACTATTATTAGTAATGCTCGACATACGACATATTATCTGTAGTGCTCGACATTTGACATATTATTAGGAGTGTTTCACATACGAAATATTATAAGGAATGCTCGACATAAGACATAATATCTGGAGTGCTCGACATATGACATATCATCTGGATTGTCCGACATATGAAATATTATCTCGAGTGCTCGACATATGACATACTATCTCGGTTGCTCCACATATGAAATATCTGGAGTGCTGGACAGACCACATATTATCTCGAGTGAAGGACATATGACATATCATCTGAAGTGCTCAATTGACGACATATTATCTGAAGTGCTCAATTGACTACATATTATCTGAAGTGCTCAATTGACGACATATTATCTGGAGTGGTCGACATACATATTATCAGGAGTGTTTGAAATAGGAAATTTTATTAGGAATGCTTGACATACGACATATTATCAGGAGTGCTTGGCATACGACATATTATTTAGAGTGATCGACATACGGCATAATTACCGCTCGAGATAAAAAAAATCGAAAAGCTCTATAATTATCCAATATGGGAAGCACTCAAGTAACTTTTTTCGAGCAGTCGAAATAAATTAAATGTATTATTAGATATCACTTCGACAACAAGCTATCATCTGCTTTTTAATTATGAGTATTTCATTTATTTGTCACCAGTTAAGTGTAAATAAGTTATTGTCAAGTATAAAATCACGATCATGTCTTAGTGCAATAAGTGCACGTCGCATAACATTTCATCATATTTCCGTCATTTAAAACATTCTTGTGGTGAATTATTAGTTTAGCATGGGTAAAACCTAAATACTAAGGGCTATGTTGATAGTCTTGATATAGCTTCAAATATCACAAATTGCACAGATTTATCAAAGACAAAAGATCATGCGATATATCTTCGTATACAGTACTGGCGACAATTAATAGAGAATATCATATGGCTTTTTCAATATCACATCCGTATCATCCCGAGACACCAGTATAATCCCAAGAGCTCTGCTCGAGGGATTATATTGGTTGAGGGTTGATACGGTGTGTGATATTGAAAAAGCCATATCATATACATATAGATTCTACCACTGCATCGAGTGTGATACGATATTTATCCACTCGAGACAGTTAAATTTTCAAATTTAAAACGCGAGGCTCGCCGAGCGTTTTAAATATTTAAAATTTAACTGTCGAGAGTGGATAAATATCGTATTACACGAGATTTGGTGGTGGAATCTGTTTCTCTAATAATTTTCAAACAATACGCAGGCAAATTTATTCATTCTTTTCGAATGATTTGCAAAAAGATGTGCTCTTTCTATGTGACGTCATCAGGCATGGTCGCCTTTTTTCATGCCGTCACAATAGGAAATTCAGAGGAAAGCAAGAACATTTGACGTCATAATCGGATTTTAACCAATGAAGAACTGAGATCAAACGAACCACACGTTGATAAAAATTTTTTTATACAATGGGTGCAGAAAGGGATAAATTGATGAAGAATTAGAGAAACTATATTATGAACATATACCTCACGCAGATGTTTTTATGTGACATGACGTCATACAGGTAAGGAGGTTTGAAATGACGTCATACAGATTATAGGTTTGACATGACGTCATACAGATTAGGGGTTTGATAAAGCCTTTGCAACAGTGACTGCAATCGATGATGTGACGTCATACAGATTAAAGGTGTGATAAAGCCTTTGCAACCGTGCTGATATCGATATCATCACGGGTGGCTGATACAGCACGGTTGCCAATGATTGTATTACACATACAATTTATCTGTATTTACTACTAAGTATATAATAAAACTCAATATAACACTGTTATTTTTTTAAGAATAAAAAATAATTATCGAAGACTTATACATTCTTCTTATCTCAAGCTTGACTTAACTCATTTTTACAACAAATGTTGAAACCCCATGTTCATTCTAAAGACCCTTTGAAAATGCAGTCTGGTAAGAGTTTTTGCTCTTATGTTAATGGACCTCACTGTGACTTTGAGATAAAGAACAGCAATAAAAGCGCTGGTCCTTTCCCTTTGGTGTAGTGATTTATTTAATTAATTGATACACAATAGTGTTTCTTTTTTACAAGTTTTTTTGTAAACACGTATTTTACGAAGCAGTTCTGAACCAATAGATTAAAATACCCATACATGTTTACAAGAATGACCTGAATTCAATTTAATTTACCATTTGACAAGCTATTATGGGGAAAAATACATTTGCGTACACTAAAATATTGCGATTGGTTAACAACAATCCAACACATGATCAATAGCGAACTACTTTATGTTACTTTTAATGTACGAACAATAAAATTATTTCCACAATCGTCTATATTTCATAAACACATAAACCATTTGACTTATCATCTATCATGGACTTTTATCTTTTATCAGCATCGTAAAAGTTTATTTTGAAAATATTTATTTAATATCTACTCTGATTCTCTGTCTGGATTTGGCTATACCTTAGGTCTTTTTTGGTTTGATCCGCTCTTCAACATTTGTATTAGTTTTGAATACTCAAATATTTTGGCCTTGAGCATCACTGAAGAGACATTAATTGTCGGAATGCTCATCTGGTGCATTAAAATTGGTTCCGTTTATGTTATTAAAACAAATATGGATCCGCAAATCAATCAGTGCTTAAAGTATATGCATCAAATGTAAACACGATCTAGTGTACATCATATTTTTCGAGCTACATTCGTACGCCCTGTAAAATATATCTTCCATTGAACTCCCTTTCCGTTTAAAATACATAGTAATATATACAATTAATTTCTGAACAAATAAACCTTTTGTGAAGAAGAATGATCGGTAGTAATATTATAGGCAATCTTATGTTTCTTATTTTCTTACTCCAATAACAATCAATTTCCTTTTTAAATGGTGTCTGGCATAAGTTAGAAAGAGGTCAAGGGCGCAAGTGGATGTTTAGAAAAATATGAATTCCTCTTTAGAGAAAAAAAAGTTGTGTAAATTTACTTAGTACATGAAGCACTTTTTTTGTTTATACCATTATGTAAACGCATATTAAGTTTTATCCAAATTTTCCTAGCAAAAACACATTCTTTTTACCAGCTGCAGGCATCTAATATCAAATATGAGTTAATTGACAATCGACAAATCTCACTGAATTATATTTTATTCTGAGAACTGAATGCATTCCTGTTCACTGTTAAATGCTTTGTTTTTGTTTTTTGTGTTTATGAACAAAAAAAAAAAAAAAAAACAACTATACAATTTTCACAGATGCAGATCAATAAAACAAACAGTACCCCCAGCAGATTTAATAACAGTATCAATGCAGTGCAATCTCTGACACATATCAGGACACTACCTTCTGAACTTAAAATGAACTCTGTACAGATATTTGGTGCAAAGAACACAATGCAGGGTTCTTTTCTCCATTTTTTAAACAACTGAAAAATACATCTAAGAGAAAAACTGACCAGTTAAGGAAAAATCGAAATTTAGATGTTATACGATGTTACTTATTGAAATGATTTTTTAAAAGATTTTTGTATTTTAATGTTAATTAAGGGTAATTGTCTTTTTATTTGTATAATTTCACATACCTCTGAAGAGATGGAACATCGAAACAAGTTTGAAAAATGAACCAATTCGATGAACGTAAAACAAAATCTGCACGTGTTTGAGTGAATTTATGTGTTTGAGTTGTATAAAGTAGTTACGAAAAAGTTCCCTAAACATCCTTGAATTCTAAATAGAAATAGATTTAGTTAAAACAATCAATCACAACTGTCCTTGGCTTTTACATCTAGATTTTTATGTCCATCTGTGGTTAACAAACAATAAAACAAAATGTTTTATTTTTTTTCATTACATACGATTTTTATGTTCATATATGTGGTTAACTAACACCAACACTATTCATTACATTTTTATCATTTTAATTGGTTTAAATTGATTGATGAAGGTTAATGTTATACCTGTGCTATTGTTTGAGAAAATATAACTTCTAGTATATGGATTTTATTAGGTCAATTTGATTTTCATTTCGGTATGTCTATTATGCTAAAAAAAGTTATATTTTTCCAACAATAATACAAGTATAACCTTAACCACCTTTATCAATTAATTTAAACCAATTAAAAATTATGACATTGTCATAAGTAGTAGAAGAAATAAATGAAATTGACAGAGTCTTTGTATCCCGAATAAGTGTTAATGCAGTGATTTCTGTGAAAATAACCTATACCGACAGATGATAATCTATCTAGAGCTCGCCATACAGTCAGGTGTTTCTCCACCGTTAACGATCGTTATGTGCTTGTAGACTTCCGAACCTGCAACCACTTAATATCCTCCCGACCTGGGACGAATACATGGGCCCAAATTAACATGTTACTTTAACTCTGATAAGTGAATTGACGAAAGGTATATATAAGAACGTACAACAAAATCAGTAAAGTAAAATAAATTAATATAATTTCATACGGTTGAACGTAGTGAATTAGAGTGAACATTTTTTCTCTTGTCTTTTTCATGATGTATAGGTGTCGTACCTATCGTACGGTCAGTTTCCCGCCGAAACAGGGGTTTCGGTCATTCAGCACGACAGCGCCAAAGCGATCGGTTCTAAAATTACTTGGTAAATTTTAATTTATTTAATTAGTTCCCCCTTTTTATTAATAAGATAAGATGGATAGGACTGGAGGGTTGTTTTTTCTTTTTGGTATTATGTTGTGTGAAGTATATATTTGTATATATATACATATGTGTTTGTTGAATGTTCATGTGTAATTAACAAATTTAATAAACTGAGCAGCGGCGTTGTCGTGTAGCTTTGCACTTTAGTTATGAGTTTTTGTATTCTTCATACTTCAACAGTATGCTTTTACCTTTACAAGGTTTTTTCAAAAGCGTACGTTATTATGGGGTGACGTACACGAGACTAGTATTTGGGGTGAAGTTCTTTTAATACAGAATGAATGTTGTTACAAGAGAATGATACTTAAGTATAATTATATTGAATAAGACCATGGGAAGCCCAGGTACTCAAAGTAAACCAAAACAATATTTTTCGACGATGCCGTCAAAAAACGTCAAAAAGACACGAGACGCAAATGTTGATAAAAAATTTGACAACTAATTTGATGGAAAGGTCTATTATGCTCTAACGTAAACATTTCAAGGACATAATCTACACTTAGTTGCTTTATAAATCATGTTATCATAAAGAACTGGATGAGAAATACATCTGTTAAATTCTGCAAGTGTAATCATATTTTCAAAAATCATCTCTATTGTGTTCACAGATATCAGGGATGTTAGTACATACACGTACATATCGAACCAGCTTAGAAATAACCACTCCATAAGAAGAAGGAGCCGAAATTTATTCGTTGAGGTTACATATAGAACCATTCTGATACCCTGTTGAATGTTATTAGATTTTAAAACTCCAATGTCAACAGATGTTTATTGCCTGATGATAAAGCGAATTCACAAATAGTAAGGTGAACATTAATATCGAGTTGACATAGAGGTCATCTATAAAAATTTCCAATAATTGCCATAATTAAATCGTAAAATATTCTATTGATATAATTTTATCATGGTGGCATGTCACTAATTTCGATCATATTTGTCCCTAGTCATTTAAGATCAAAACGTGCATTTTACAAACCAGTAAAGAAAAGTCAAATTGAGACATGATTAATTCAGCAAACATCTTTATCAATTTAAGCATTTGTGATTAGCCGTTAATGTATTTTTATTATCGAGAATATCGGACAGGTAAAAAGGTTTTGTCAATACTAAAAGTAATACTTATGAATATTTAATATTATATGCATTTCTTAAGTGCGAGAATGTTGAAACTTAAAATATAGAATTGTAAATGGATTTTTGAAAAATAAAATAATGGATTATTGTGCTAACCGAATATTTCATTTCCGTTTCAATCTCTTTCGAGGAGGACACATTTTTTTTATTGTACAACTAAGCAACACCTCGATCCTAGAGGGCAGTTATAGTTTGATGTAGATTCAATATTTTATCAAAGTCTTATAACTTGTATAACATAAAACATTCGAATAAATATATAAAACATAGCGTATATTAAACTAACAGTAAAACATCATAAGATTAAATACTAAAACATATACAAGCGCCATTATATTAAGAATTATGAGAGACTATTAAATGAATTATTATATACAATATCTTACATAATTTTAAAACTATATTTATTTAAGATTTAAGTTACATCACCCGCTATCTATGAATAAGAAAATTGTTCATCTACATAAAATATTAAAGCAGGTTTTAGCAACTACCTGACAAAGTTCTTCATTTCTGAAAAATAACATTACATGTATGTTTCATTATAATACGTTATTTTGATTGGCTAACAGCAATCTCGCGTCATTCTGAAATTAACATTCATTTCAAAAATGAAATGTAACATTCATGATGACACGAGCTTCCACAATAAAGTGCACAGGCAAATAAAAGAAAAACTTGATAGAAATCGTGTTTTCATGATCCTAGCAAACAAATGTAAATAAATTATTAGTAATGAATGATTTTTAATTTTATAGGGTTGTAAAAGCCCTAACCGTGCGCACATTTCTAGAATGAAGCGCTTCCGCGCTTCATACAAAATGCACTTCAGTCAACGCTTTTACACCCCAATAAATTTACAAAAAGAAGCATTCAATTCTTAAATAAAAATACAAATGTATTTCAGCTTGTTCACAACGGTTCTTTAATCTAATTAAAACGACCAATAATTTATTATTGATTGTTTTCTAGTGTAAAATCGATTTTAATATATCTTTGTTTTGATGTCTGGTGACACTATTTAAAAAAAAACACATTGGGGTGGGCGGACAAAATTGGTCACATATATGTGAAGGGTAAAAAAAAACCCTAACATTTAAGCAAAATACAACTTCAGAGGGAGCAAACAAAGTGATATCATTTTGAATCGACACCGGCGATGGAAAAAATGAAGGACATTCATCTGATAAAAGAGAATACATAAAAAATGTACTAGCCATCAACTAGTCATATATAATGTGTAGTTAAGTCTTGTATTCTATTTGAGGGCACAATTGCCAACTGGAAAGCCGCCGTCTAAAAACCCACAATATCTCTGTATCTTATTTGGGTAAACTAATTTCAGACCATCTGTACGTTAAAGAGACAAAGAAACAGTTCTATGGAAGAGCCACTATCATGTGACTTATGGTAATCTGTAATGATAAGTTTTAGAAGCATACGAAAATATCCTATCTTTTAGACTGGTTCCCTGTCCTTTATCTGTTTGGCACGCAATAAGGGTGACTCAGATACCCGTATTTTATAAGAGAGAGAACCAGTCTATTCCTTCTCTATGTATCGTTATATCCGTTTGATATACAGGAAGATTGTTATGTGTCCTATAAGTATGAAATATTTGTTACTGGACGTAAAACAAGCAACTACCCCGCAATTGATCATTTAAAATATCTAACATCTTTTTTTTTACATTTCGAATAAAATGCAAAAGTACATCGAATACATATCATATTCACCAAATACCAATATGATTATGATTACGTAAATAGGTTTGACCTAGAAGGACAGTTCGAACAATCCCCTCACGAGATAAGATAACTACTGGCGTCATAATATTTCAGATTTGTAGACATGGATAGACTTCTATTAATGGTTGGATCTTTTATTTTTGTCGCAAAATGTTCAGGTATTTTTACACATTGTTTCAGTGTATTTTCAATGTTCAGAAAGTTTTTATAGTGAATGGCCATTGGTAACATGTCCTTCGAGGAGTATTTAAATCATAAGAACAGTACGATATAAAAGTCAAATTTGAGTTTCCGAAATACGCGTCTTACTTTTTCACTGAGGTTGTCAATGTAGTACTAATATTTCTAACAGATTAATACGCGAATAATAATGGTTATCGTTTATGATTAGTGATTCTATTTAGCTATTTTGGAATGGAAACATCAGTATTTTAGATGTCTCGTTTGAGAACTTGGGGTCACCAATATCTCGTACCAAAGTACGTGGACATTTTATTTATTTATTCATACATGTTTTACTAAACTTATTTGATACAGATAAGATAAGTTTTAACTTCTCATCAAAGCTGTCAGAATAATCTGTCACATAAATGTTCTATCCTAGATCAGTTGGACCCTAGAACTGTCCTTACGTAAAGCGGCCCAAAATTGGTATACGGTAAACATGTCCAGAACTATTCTAGTGAAGAACACAGCTACCAGAAACGGTTCCAAAGGTGTCAGGAAGCTGTTCTTTAGAATACTTTAAGAGTAATAAGAACTTTAGTCTTAGATGCATAATTTATTTTATTAGTTGTTATTGGCTTTGCACTAGTTGTCAGTAATTGCGAGTACTCTCAGATCTGTACTTATTGTCTTTTTGTTGTGGGGATGTATAAGTACCCTGCCATGTCCACTCTGTGTTTTGTCAGATGTATTTCTCCTTTGTATCCATCTGATGAGTTAAGCTCTTTTCAACTGATTTTTATAGTGTGTTCTTATGTTGTACTGTTACACCACTGTCTCAGGTTAGGGGGAGGGTAGGCGCCTTCAAACTAGTTTAACCCAGCCACATTCTGTATGTGCCTGTCCCAAGTCAGGAGCCTATAATTCAGTGGTTGTCGTTTGTTGCTGTATATCATATTTGTTTTTTGTTCATTATTTTGTACATAAACCAGGCCGTTAGTTTTCTCGTTCGAATTGTTTTACATTTATCATTTCGGGGCCTTTTATAGCTGACTATGCGGTATAGGTTTTACTCATTGTTGAAGGCCGTACGATGACCTATAGTTGTTAATTTCTGTGTCATTTGGTCTTGTGTGGATAGTTCTCTCATTGGCAATCATACCACATCTTCTTATTTTTATATTTATCCTTACTGTACATACGCAATGATCCTTACCAATTCCTGGGCCTCTTCTTAAGTTTTCATGTATTACATCTTTTGTTTCCGTATGCGACATGGCCTCAGATCGAAAGTTTTTAGATTTATCTACTGCCCTAACATGCAATTTTTATTTCAATAGGACTAACAGTTATTGGAGAAAACCAATGTAGCAACGGACTAAGTGTTTTGAATGTCTGTTTCTGTCATCAAGGATGGACTGGAAGCGACTGTTCTATTGATATCGACGAATGTAGCAGAGGTATATTTGAACAGTAAATAATAGTTTCAGTAAACACAAACCTTTATATCAATAGTATATCATGCAACATCATTGAACATGTAAGCATCAGGTATACATGTATACAGTAAAAAGGCCTTTGATATAGTACAAACATTATTTTCCACGAGTTTGCTAAACTCCGAGTTTGAAATATTGTATTCCAAAAGTTGTCGTATTGGATAAACCACCAAGACTGCTTAAGTCTGCGAATGTTGTTTTTTTCCATACATTTTCTGGTCTGCATATTTATTAAAGATATTATGATAAAAATACTTGATTTCTATAAAAATCCGCTGAAAAGCATAGTTAAACGCATTTAGTTTCAAGTAAAATAACTCACACTAAAATCCTAGAAATGAAGAAAATGAAAAATAGATAAATGCCAGATAAGATGTAAACACAATTGAACAGCAAAGATGATGTAAGGTATACTCCAATGAAGTAGCACGTATATGTACTTGTATGTATCATGCCCTTTATTAATATCTGAATACGTTAAACTTTTCGAATGATTCATTTCATTTACAAGTTTAATCGTGTCGTCTGACAGCGAAGCTGTACTGTCACATAGGGATCATACTGTCGTCTTGTGTTATATTCGGTCGCGTCATACTTTGTTAATCAACAAATTCATAAAAAACGGCGTGACAGAATTCCACCAAACTTGCACAGATTCTTTTAAATTGCACGAAGTTTGTGCACCAACTATTTTAATATTAGATCCGAGGAATTGTTTTGTTACCCCTAGCTAAGCATGATCTTTGTCATTTATGCTTAAAGTAATTAGTAGACTCACACCTCATTTGTTTTGTTTTTACTCTTCCTCGGTGATTTATCCTATATTTTTATACCTGTCTATATTTCAGCTGCCACAAGTCCTTGTGGTGAGAGAGGAACGTGTGTAAATACACCAGGAAGTTTTCATTGTGATTGCAAAAAGTCATACGTTGGAGTGAAATGCGAACTAAAATTACATAGTTCCAATATTAGAAAACGGTTGGTTTTAGGAGGTAGTTTTGCAACACCTCCACCACCAACGTCAACTGTAAAACAAACGACAAATTCACCCCCTCCTTTCACGACAAAAGCGCCACCTATACCACAGGGCATCAAAACGCCTCAACAAATCACAGAACAGCAGGTGTCACAAGCAACGACAATTACAAAGGCTCCACCACCAATAGGATAAAATTAAGAACAGAATGGACATTCTTGTCCGGATGATGTTTTAATTTTGAATTTTTTACTTAATAAAACATTTGTATATGCATTGTGTTTAGCATAATTTTTGCGTTTACAACAGTTCTTGAAATGAATAAATTATCAGATATAATGAGTTTGTTACCACTAATAATTTTTTTGATTTTTTGATTTTTGGTGTTTTAACGCCACTTTTAAGCACCGCTTTTGGGCTATTTCGTGGCGGCCAGTTTTTTATTGGTGGAGGAAGCCGGAGTGCCCGGAGAAAACCACCGACCTTCGATAGGAAAACTGACAATCCTAGTCAATTAAGATTGGAGTCGAATGCACCCGCACGAGCGGGGTTCGAACTCACAACCTCAGTGTTGACTGGCTAGTGATTACAGTAGTAACTACTTAGACCACACTGCCACCGAGGCCCCTCACCACTAATGAACAAATATCCCTAATGATACAGAGTAAAGAAACACATTTTATACATGAGATCGGAACAGATGTTCTATGGAAGGGAGTGACGTAATGTATCACTATGTTGTGTATAACTTGTGATATTGTACAAATTATATAAATCATAATTTGTACACACGTTATGTACAGGTTATCTGTGTTTTGACACCAACAGTTTATTTGCAATGATTAACTTGCTTGATGTTTAACTCACAAAGTTATCAATTCAACCAACCAATAAGAGTCGTCTTCTTTGGCATTATGCTGCAAATGAGTACACCAGATTGGGTTAGATTCTATATATATATTTTGGCTCATAGCAGTCGTAGTCTAATGCCATTATAAAGGATGTGTTTCAATGTTGTGCATACGACGGCAGCCTGAAACTATGCAAATATGACAGAGATAAGCTACATCAAAGACATTGAGAGTGTACAAGCTATTTTTTCTGCTCTTTTATGTACAAAACAAATGTTGTGAACAATCATGGGTTTCAAAAAAGATGATAGTATAGTTAAAACACGTTCACTTGCACAAGTTTACACATTAATATGAAAATAAAACATTATGTAAATTACTAAATGAGAACGTAATTGCACACAATCTGTTCAATTTTGGCTATGGTGCACATTACATGACTATATAGCTTAACCGAGTCCCTTTTTATACAATTGTCGACGCAAAAGTTTGGGTTTAAGCTTATTAACAAAACAATATGAAATAAGGAGATGTGGTATGGTTGCCAATGAAACAACTACCCATAACAATCCAAATGACGTGGATTTAAGCCATTATAGACCACCGAACAGTCTTCAAAAATGAGCAAAACTCATAGCGTATGAAAGGTTCCGATATGACACAATGTGAATCAATTCGAACGAAAAAACTATCGGCCAACTTTAATACAAATGAATAAGCATAGAATGAATGTAACAGACAGCAACCAACGACAACCACTGAATTACGTGCTCATAACTTAGTATGGAACGCCATGACTGCCTTATGTTGATGATCATCATTATATGCAGTGGTGACAACATTATATGCAGTGGTGACAATATTATATGCAGTCGTGACAACAAAATATGCAGTGGTCACAACGTTATGCAGTGGTCACAACATTATATGCAGTGGTCACAACATTATAAGTAGTCGTCACAACATTATATCCAGTTGTGGGAACATTATATGCAGTTGTCAGAACATTATATGCAGTGGTCAAAACATTATAAGCAGTCGTCACAACATTATTCGTGTTTTGGCGATGAAGGTAATGATCAGTGATAGTGATGATGATGATTAATGATGGTGATGGTAGTGGTAAACTTCGGAAATTTCAATCGGAAATTGCCGAATTCGGTTTGAACTGATAATGCCCCGTACAAAAAAAAAATGGAACATTTATTGATATCATTTAATTTAGGCAATTTGATTGAAACTTTATTAGAGAAAAATTAACACCTGCTATTGTCTGCAATTAGACAGACATTATTTTATCAAATTAGGGGTAGTCCATTCCGAGAATGGTGATGAAACATTAAATGGCAGTTTTGTATACTATATGCCTCGAGTTCATTTCTTATTATTAATCAATGAAAGTAGATGCCACTCTAGGATCCTCTAGTCGATATTCAGTGCCATAATGCATATATATGTAAGAGTCAGATCGACGTCCGCCTAATACCTAAACGACGTCCAATCCAACGTCACTTTCTCAAATAAAGGTATAATATATTTACCCTCTAATCGACGTCTAATATGATGTCATGATTGTTTACTAAAACTCCTCTTTTCGAGGTCTAATATGAATTGATCATTTGTTACTAGTTTGATCCTTTTTTATTTTCTCTCAAGTGATCGTTTTGTTTTAGAATAATGCTATCTAAATATACAAATTGTTTTTTTTTTTAAATATTTTATACATTACAAATCATCGTGACTTATATATAATACAGGAACAACAAAGGATAACACACCCTGTACCAAAGAATGAACTAAATCAAATAAAAAAAAAACTAACATGGATAAATGACAACAAGACAACCACCGACAACAGATTCTACACTTGGACAGTAATATTTTGCGTACATGAATCACGTTGATCAACTCAATCTAGTACGTTGTCTCATTCCTTTCATATTCACATGAAAAAAGATGATAAAGTTTTCAATCAAATTGCCTAAATTACATGACTTCAATAATTGTTCCATTTTTTGTGCGGGGAATTAAATATAACCGGATTCGGCAATTTTCGATCAAATTTACGAAGTTTTCAGAATTGAGGAACCACCATCATCACCATCACCATCATCAATCATCATCATCACTATCACTGATCATCACATCATCACCTTCATAAACAAAACATGTATAATGTTGTGACCACTGCATATAATGTTGTGACCACTGCATATAATGTTGTGACCACTGCATATAATGTTGTGACCACTGCATATAATGTTGTGACCACTGCATATAATGTTGTAACCACTGCATATAATGTTGTGATCACTGCATATAACGTTGTGACCACTGCATATAATGTAGTCACGACTGCATATAATGCTGTCACGACTGCATATAATACTGTGAACACTGCATATAATACTGTGAACACTGCATATGATGTTTTCACCACTGCATATAATGATGATCATCAACATAAGCCAGTCATGGCGTTCAATAACTTTGGCCAGGCACATACAGAATGATGATGACAGAGAGTAAACAAGTTGAAAAATGTTTACTAGGATTTTTTTTGTAAACAATGAATTAGAAATTCGGTTATATTACAGACATCTACAGGTTTTGGTTGATCTTTAAACAAAAAAATGTATTAACAATATATTTATTAACATGACATAAATATGCTTTCCTTTTGAATATGTTTTAAAATTAAATAGATTATAATGTTACCCGGATTAGGAAAGGACTGAATAAATATTCAGATGAGGATGAAATGTAAAAGAGATAGAGAGTCATGAACTTAAACTTATAATCTTATGCAGGACAGGATTAACCAGGTAACATGAAAGGCAACAGCACTGACAGTTCATATATAGCGGTTTCTTCATGACAGTCACTTGGATACAATAGAACACAAGAAGGGGCCAGTTTCTCGGATTGGAGACTAACTGACCAACGCACTATTGGTTGTAAAGGACGATTTTATTCAGTGGCCAAAAAACATAGTTCACAAGCAAAACAAAACAAGCAGCATATGAAATCCACGTTTTCAATTAAAAATAACAACAGCAAATATAAATTGCTTTAGGTCAAGAACACTAATAAAAGATTGCAAATCAAGCATTATCAAGGAAGACGAGTATGAAAAAAATATTTAAAAAAAGAAAACAATTTATCACAAAACAGATAAAAAGGTGTAATTTAAGTGATTGAAACTTAATGCAAATGACAAAAATGCAAATTTAAAACCACATAATGCATAGAAATAGAACATGATACAGTATACATGTAGCAAAGGGCATGTAGTCTGATATCAAACTGAATGAAATTATTTTGTGAATTTTCATATATCTTTTATCATTTGCTGAGTATAGTAATATAGTTTGGAAAAACCCACTGATATTAAAGTACATTCTCTATTTATTGAACTCTCAGCTCATTCAAGTCCCTTGAAGAAAGCCCCATTTTTACAAATTAAAGATCTATGGTCCCTTCAATGGCCAAAAATGGTTTTGAGAACCATTGTATCTAATTACCCGTTGAGTTTAGGTTCTAGCTGAATCGATCAAATGCCTTCTTGTCTCTTTTGCGGTGTTGGCCAACTTAATATCTTAGAAATTAACACGTTTTTGGAGTTCTAACTGCTATTCCCAAGTATTCACCAGAATGGAAATTATGTCTAGATCACAGTGTTGTCCGACATATTTTTTTCATACCCGCCCTAATTTCATTTCTTATATTGAAGTTTTGTTAAGTTTCAGCCTGAATAATTTCCCTGTTAAACGTTAAACTTTCTATTTATCTATTACAGTTTTCAAGGTGATAGGCAAAATAAATGGTATAAATAATCATTAAAGGGCAATAACTCCAATAACGAGTTGAATGAAGATTTCGGCGATTTATGCTTATTTGTAGATCGTGTCTTTTTTTGCTATTTAAAGTTTCTATCTTTCTGTAATAGTTTTCAAGATAAAAGGCAAAAATGCAAAAATTGGGGAAAATCGTCATTTAAGGTCAATAACTTCAATAAAGTGTCGACTGACGATTTCGGTCATGCCGATTTATTTGTAGATCCTGTTTGGCTGATCATTTTGGATATTCAAAGTTTCTATCTATCTACATAGTTTTCAAGCTAATAGATAAAAATGCAAAAAAATAGGAAAAATCGTAATTAACGGAAATATCTTCTATAAGGTATCGACTGACGATTTTGTTTATTTGACTTATTTGTAGATCTTGTCTTGCTGATCATTTTGGCTATTTAAAGTTTTTATCTATCTTCTGTAGTTTTCAAAATAAAAGGTAAAACTGCAAAAAATTGGAAAACTCGTCATTTAAGGGCAATAATTTCAATATTGTGTCGACTGACGATTCCGATCATTTTGACTTATTTGTAGATCTTGTCTTGCTGATCAGTTTTGCTTTTTAAAGTTTCTAAATATCTATTATAATTTTCGAGATAATAGGCAAAATTGGAAAACAATTGAAATCGTTGTTTGA